AGGGGCCTGGGAGATGGCTCAGTAGAATAAGCGCTTGACTGGCAAGAGCAAGGGTCTGAGTTCAATCCTGGGTTCTGAAAAAAAAAAATTGTCATTTCATCTATGTACTATTTTTTGAGACAGGTTTCACTATGCCATTCAGACTGGCCTTGAACTTGAAGAAACACTCCTGTCTCGGCCTCCTAAGTGCCGGGATTACAGGTGTGCAACACATACCCAGCCCACATACTCACTGATGCACTGAAATTTCAGGTAAAGAGGGAAGGAAGCCACCACCAATGGCACCAGTGTAACCATGGTGCTGGGAGTGTAAAGGAGCACCAGGCGATGCTCCTTGAAGGAGGAGCAGCGGCCCGTTTTGGCTAGACCTGGCCCTACTTCCGTGCATTGATGTGTGGAGAGCTGGCTAGGGCTTTTCCTTATCCCTTCAGGGGCTTTGAGCAATGCAAAATGGCTCATCGAGGTTCTGGTGGTAGGCTCTGAAGCAAAGAGGATAGGGCAGTTTTTCCCGGGCCTCCAGTGGCTCTTACAAGTGAAACGTGTGAGCCAAGGTAAGACGGAGTGGAGAGTCGTCCTCCACTCTGGCAGCTGGGATCAAGCCTCGAGAGAAGAGGTGGGACAGGCCAGATGGCTCAGCAGACTAAAGCGTCTGCTTAGGCAGAGCGCAGCAGCTGGGGTTCGAGCCCCAGTGTGCTGTGCCGGCCCTGTCCCCAGGGCATACTGAGACAGCGACTGAGACTGGGCATGGTGGCTCAGGCCTGTAATCCCAGCGCTTGGGAGGCTAAAAACAGGAGAATCACTATGAGTCTAATCTACATAGTGAGACCCTGTAGATCCTGTCCTAAATACATTTTTTTAAAAAAGATAAAAGATAAGAGGCTGTGACTAGTCAGGCATGGTGGCACACGCCTGTAATTCCAGCATTCAGGAGACTCAGACAGGAGGATCCTTGCAGATTTGAGACCAGCCTTAGCTACAAAGGGAGCTCAAGGCCTACCTGAACTGCATAGGGAGACCCGTCCCAAAAAGAAAAAAAAAAAAAAAAAAAAAAATGCTATGGCTTTCCAGGACATAAGAGATTACACATCAGGCTGGGGATGTAGCTCAGTGGCACACCACTGGCCTAGCAAGTGTGCAGCACTCAGTTCAATTCGTGGTGAAAAAAAACAAAAAACAAAAAACACAAAACACCAGAGCCAGCCCCAACATCACTTGCTGCCTCAGTCGCGTCACGCAGCGTACTCCTTCTGCAGATCCTCTCTCTACACCTCGCAGAGGTGACTTGAGGCCTCCTATGCAGCCCAGCTCCCAGCACGCGCCTACTTCCCACCATTTAAAAAAAAAAAAAAGATGAGAGGCTGTGACTAACCAGGCAGGTCACTCATCCTTGAGCCACTTTTTTTAATGTATTTGATTGTTATGCAGCTCTGACTCATAGTGATCCTGTTTTCAGCCTCCCCAGCACTGGGGTTGCACCGCCACTCCCAGACTCTGTGGCTGGCTCAGTCCGCTCTGGTGCGGGGTTGGCGCAGCATGTGGTGCTGGGAATCCAACCCCAGTCCCTACACTTGCCTAAGCAGGTGCTTAATCTGCTGGGCTATCTTGCTGGCCCTTGCCACTCCTTTTTTTTTTTTTTTTTTTTTGGCGGAAGCAGGGATTGAACTCAGGCCCTTGCGCTTGCCAGGGAAGCACTTACTCCACTGAGCCACCTCCCTGGCCCCTGCCACTCCCTTCTTCATGAATGAATAGAGCCCCAGTCAGCCCTGGGGCCAGGTCTTTGCTCCGGCGGCCATCATTACTCCTGGACTTAGGACCCCTTGGCTCCCCATAACTGCAAATATTCTTGCCATAGGTTGCACTGGGTGTGGTAAATTGGAATTCCCTCAGTAGAATTCCAGTAACTTGCATGGGGTCAGTGAAGACCAGGAAGCGCTTGCTAGACAGGAGTCCACAAGCTTGATCCCAGGAATGAACCTGGGAGAGGTGCTTCTCTCTCAGATTTATTAGGGTTTGAGTAGTGGCATTAGGTCTCCTGTAGTTGTAGAACTCAGTGCAAAACCTGTCAGGATTTTTCCTTTTAGAATTTTTCTTTCTTTCTTTTTTTTTTTTTTTCAGAACCGGGGATGGAACTCAGATCCTTCAGTTTGCCAGTCAAGCGCTTATCCTACTGAGCCATCTCCCCAGCCCCAAGTCTTTTTTTTTTTATCAAAGTACTTTATTAAATAAATTATTTTACACATATACACAATATACTTACAATTTTTTTTTTTTTTTAACGGAACTGGGGATTGAACTCAGGCACTTGTGCTTGCCAGGGAAGCGTTTATTCCACTGAGCCATCTCCCTGGTCCTATAATTACAATTGTAAAAAATATAACAAGGGGGCTGGGGAGATAGCATGGTGGTCTAAGCACCTGCCTGGCAAGCACAAGGACCTGGGTTTGATCCCCAGCACCGCATGCTATGTACCAAATAAATAAAGATTTAAATATATATATATATATATCTCAAGCAAGGAGGGACTGATCTTCAGTTTCCAGATCAGAGCCAACAGGGCCTCTCCCCGCTTGGCTGCTGGGCATCCCGCCGCTCCTCAGCCACGGCTGGAGCCACGATCAGCCGGGAGGAGCACCGTCAGGGCGGCCGCGAGTGGGCAGCCCCGCTTCCTGCCGGCGACACGTGTGGGGGCCCTGAGGGGTCCTGCCGAGGGCGCTGCAGGCTGGCGGCGCGTGGAGGCCCGAGCGGGCGCCTCATCCCAGTCCCGGCCGCAGCGAGCGCAGGCGCTTCTGAGCCGCACGCCGGCGCCGCCCCTGGCAGCGCGGTGCCTCAGGAGTTCCACAGTTCTAAGAACATTTTTTCTAGAAAAGTTCCCAAGAGTTTGTTATTGTACTCTAAAATAAAAGCAAAAAGCCACACTCCCCAACAGAATCAGTCAGCTGTACATTGACACAGAGTTGCCTGTTTATCCTAACGTAATGCCCCGCCGCACACCCTAGCGGTCCTCCTGCCTCCAGCCGCCCGCCCGGTCGCGGGGATGGCAGCGCGCCACCTCGCCCGCCCGCCCGGTCGCGGGGGCCTTCTCAGCGCGGCTGGGAGCGGCGCGGGGGCGCTGCGTGCGGGGCGGGGATGGATCTCCATTGCTGCCCTTTAGTCTGTGAGCTATCTGGCCAGCCCTCACACAGAATGCTTTGCAAAGGGAAGATCTGCCCATCTCTTGTGTTTTACATTTTTTTAGAGTAAACAGGTTTTTTTTTTTTTTTTTTTTTTGCGGAACCAGGGATTTGAACTCAGGCCCTTGCGCTTGCCAGGTACGTGCTTATTCCACTGAGCCATCTCCCCGGGCCCTTGTTGGCTCTCTTTAAGGACCTTGTCATGTTGGCTTTCCCGATGAGCTTGGCTTCTCATCCGAAGAGGAGCTCAGGACCTTGCCGTTGAGAATGGCTGCGGCTCACTTTGGGGGAGCCCTGCTTCTCACTTTGAGCACTGCCTTCTGGCCTGAGGGGAAGATGATACACTGCTCAAACTTGCGAAAAAGCTTATCACATTGGTCGGCTTTCCTGACTGAACTCCAGCCTTTGTCCTCAGAGGAGCCTGGGACCTCACTGCTGCTGAGGATGGCTGTGGTGCTTCTCGGGCGCCCTGGCTCTTACCTTCTGCTTCCTGGCCTCCGTGCAGACCGCCCAGCCTGCTGGCACAGCCCTTCCAGCCTCCTCCACTATCTTTGGGCCTTCCAGGGCAGACCCATGACACAGACCTTCATGAGACCTTGTCAGGGCCTCTAGGCCCAGCTGGCCTCGCGGGCGGAATGGTTGTGTGCTCTAGCTCCTCAGCTGGACTTCCGCGAGGCACTGTCACAGGACCGAGGCTCTCAGCTGAAGTCTTTGGTCTTAGTGTGTGGACAGGTTTCCTGCACTGTTGTACAGAATTCTTTGGATGACTCATTATAAAATCTTTTTTTTTTTTTTTGCGGTACTGGGATTGAACTGAGGACCCTGTGCTTGCCAGGCAAGCGCTTATTCTACTGAGCTATCACCCAGTGCCTATAAAATACTCTTATAAAATGTGCGCCCTGTAAAATATATATATATATATATATATATATATATAATTTATTTTATTTTTTATTTTTCTGGAACCGGGGATTGAACTCAGATCCCTGCGTACGCCAGTCAAGCACTTACCCTACTGAGCCATCTCCCCGGCCCCCGCACCCTGTATTATATTGTTCACCTTGTAAAAACCCTAGACCCCGACAAATGATCTGGATTTCTGTAGGATGTTGTCATTTCACTCTTTCCATTCCCATGGACTTGAGACTTTCCTTTTTAAAATATGGTTGGCTAAGGGTTTGTCAATTTTACTCAATGGGGAGTCCACAAACTTGAAACCATAATTTGTTGGATAATGTCTAAAGCAGAGGTATCTAGGAGTGGGAAGCGGGGGAGAATATGCTCTGTATCAAGTAACAAGGATATTTATTTGGCAGAACTGGGGATCGAACTCAGGCCCTTGTGCTTGCTAGGCAAGCGCTTATTCTCCTGAGCCATCTCCCTGGCCCCAGTAAGGATCTTCAGGGCAAGGGAGATGGCTCAGGAGAATAAGTGCTGCCCTGGCAAGCACAAGGGCCTGAGTTCAATTTCTGGTTCCGCCAAAAAAAAAAAAAAAAAAAAAAAGTTCTACCCAATAAGGATCTTTAAAAAGCTACACGCTGTCCCGGGATCTTCAGAAAGAGTATTTTTTAAAATTTACTTTATTTTTCCAGTCTTGAGGGGCCTGGGAGATGGCTCAGTGGAATAAGCACTTCCCTGCAAGCACAAGGGCTGCGTTCAATTCCTGGTTCCACAATAAAAAAAACAAAACAGGAGTCTTGGGGGCTTCTCAGGAACTAGCCAGACCCAACTCACCGAGGCTCACGGAGCTGCTACTGGACGTCCTGTGTGCACAGGACTGCAAGGTGTTTGCCCAGGTCCTCCAAAGCCACCACAGCTATGGACCAAATGGGCCTGCCTACTGTGAGCCCACCTTGTCCACAATACTGGTTTTTACAGGAAAGCAGTGTCAGAGCCACAGGGTCAGTTTCCACGGAGGACACAAGACTTTGGGAGGCCAGTGTGTGCGGGCTGTGAGGGAACACCCCGCAGTAGCCTGAGGGCCACACAGGGAGCTGTGCGGCGGCAGCTGCAAGAGCACACTGGAAGTCAGCTAGTGTGGGCAGACCAGGCCCACGCTAGCTCCTGAACAGCTAGACCAGTGGTGTAATAAGAGACTGTGTGATCTGGGGCACCCAGGACGGGAGGGGTAAACAGCACTCCATCCAACAGCTTGTATTTATTTGGTTTTCAAACAAAGGGGATATTGAGGCAAAGTGGGAACTCAGCATAACTGTGGCAGTCAGTCCAAAGACTTCTCCAAGGTTTTTTAATGTTATTTGGTACAGGGTCTCACTACGGAGCTCGGACTCGTAGTGCTCCTCCCGTTTTCAGTCTCCCTAGCACCGGGATTACAGGCGCACACCACCATGCCAGATCTTCGGGGAACCAACCCCAGTCCCTGCACTTGCCTAACAGGTGCTTAGTCCACTGGGCCATCTCACCAGCCTCCGACTGATAAATTCTAAGACAGCTGTTTGACCAACAGCTGTCTTGGGTTGGCAGCTCCACTACTCAGCAGCATGGGGTATCAGCAGCCACCGGGTATCCACTTACTAGACGGCCCAGCACAGCCAGGAGCCCTCCGTGGTCAGCACCCTAACCCCTCCAGAGCCTGTCTGCAAGTCCCACCACAGGATCTCCACCAAGGAAACCTCAGGGCACAAGTGGCTGGCGCTCTTGAGCCACAGAGCGCTGCAGGGCCTCTGCGGCTCCCAGCTTGCCAGCCTGCAAGTCACAAATGCTCCATGGGTTCTGGTCCTGCTTTGGTCAGACTCTGCCTTCTTGCCTTTAGGAGATGACTATCTACCCTGTGCCACTTCATCTTGGGAATTTTTTAAACAGGGGCTCTGCCAGGCATTGTGGTGCACCCGTCATCTCAGCACGTGGGAAGCTGAGACAGGAGGATCACGGAGATCTCAACCAGCCTGGGCTACAAGGTGATCTCAGTGCCAGCCTGCACTGCACAGCACAAAAGAGTGACTAATACAACTAAGTGCTTGATAACCATGTACACTTACGCATTTTTCTGAGACAGGGCTTTGCTATGTAGTCCAGACTGGCCTTATTTTTCCAAGTCTTCTCTATCAAAAAGAAAGCAGAGTCCCCCAGGCACCTGGGGACTGTCCAGGAGCAAAGCAGCTGGACAGAACAAAATATACTGAAAATTCTCTAAGAGAGCTGCTGAAAAAGGAGGAAGAGACGGAGGAGAAAGAGGAAAGGCAGGAAGAGAAGGAAGAGGAAGGGGAGGAGGAGGAAGAGAAGGAAGAGGAAGAGGGGGAGGAGAAGCTCCTTAAGGAAGCAAAGCTCAGTATAGTGGAAATAAAATGCTGATGGTGAGATTTAGACACCAACGAGGGGGCTTGACTGAACTGAAGAACTTCTAAGCACCTCTCAAATTAAGCCTGGAAAGTAAATTACTGTATCAACATTTTTGTAATAAAAAAACTCATTAAAAAAAAAAAAGAAAGCAGAGCTCATCTTCTCTAGATGCAAGAGCTCTACAAATGTGGGCAGGCTTTCTCCATTGGTGCTGGTGATAAAAACTCAGGACCTCACACAAGCTACACATCCACTTCAAGTCAAATCCATAGTCCTTGTTATTTTTTTTGGTACTGAGAATCAAACCCAAGATCTTGTGCTTTCCAGGCAGTCCCGGTTCCACTAAGCTACATTCCCAGCTGTATTATTTTATTCTGAGACATGTCTTCTGAAATGGCCTAGGCTACCCTCAAATTTTCTACCTTCCTGCCTCAGCCTCCTGAGGTGTGATGTACCACCATGCCCAGAGATGGGCTAGTGTTTAAGGTAGGGTCTCACTACATAGCCCATGCTGGCCTTTAACCGTCAGTGATCCCATCTCAGCCTCCTGAGTGCTGGGATTACAGGCATATGTCACACCTCATTTAGGTTGGGTGATTTTGTTTTATGGTACTAGACTGAACTCTGGGCCTTGCACTTACCAGACAGGTGCTGTGCCCCTGGGCAACCTCCCAGCTGTTGGAGGGGAGTGCCATGGCCCTTAGCTATAGACAGACAGAGGACCTCCTCAATTGTGGGCTTAGCTTGCATGGTGAGAGACAAAGCCGTCCAAGATGGAAGCTAAGAGAAGCACATCTTTCTGTCCTGGTCTGAAGGGCCTTTATTTCTGCCCTGTGAAGGGAGACAGGCTCAGTGGTTCCCTCCTGCCGATACCCGCGATGGTCATGGCGGTCGCTCCAGGCACGGCCACCTCAGCCCGGGCCCTCCAGCCAGGGTGAGACGGTGGTGCCCGAAGTCAGCGCTGGGCCCTGGAGAAGCACAGCAGCGCTCTTGGGCCAGGGAGGCTTGGCCAGGGCCCCCAACCTTGCTGGGCAAAAGGCCATGGATGAAGGTCCCCTCAGACTTCAGGAGTGTGGCGAGGGGGAGGCCAGCCCAGTGGGCCACAGGAGAACACACGGGTCTTCAAAGAAAGGCGGCGCTGCATGAGTCTCCTGGTCACACTGCTGTCAGCCTGCGCCTCGAGGGCCCCAGGAGCAACGCTCACTCCCGGGGCCGGCTGACCATGACCTCCCCCAGGGCCTCCAACACCTCCCGCTTATAGTCCTCAAAGTCGCCGTCGATCTGGCTAACGCTCTGCTCCTCCACCACCCACAGCTGGCAGTTGGTTTCTGTGATGAGCCGTGCATCATGGCTGACGATGATCACAGCTGTGAAGGAAGACAGTGAGGAGACAGGGCAGAGAAAAGGCAGGCAAGGGCATCGGGGCAGGACAAAGCCTCACCCGACGCCTCGGCACCCTCCCCGAGGCCCAACTCACCTCCCTTGTACTCATTTATGGCCTCCCCCAGCGCGTCGATGGACTCGATGTCCAAGTTGTTGGTGGGCTCATCCTGAAGGGGAGAGGGATGTGAAGGACAGGAATCGGAGGGGAGGAGGGCGCATTCTCGGCTGGCATGCACCCCCGCCCGCCGGTGCCCCCTTGTCTCCTGGCACTCACGCACCAGGATGAGGACATCAGGCTCCCGGCAGGCCAGCTCTGCGAACACAACCCGGGCTTTCTGCCCACCTGCAGGAAAAGAGAAGCTCTGCCACTCTCTGTGGTCCCTGGCAAGTGGCACACGTGGGACAGGGTGCCACACCCGCCAGGTACCAGAGAGCTTGCGGATCTGAATGGTGTGTGCGTGGCTCTCGAGGCCAAAGCGGCCCAGGCACTTGCGGGCATCCTGGTAGGGCAGGTTGAAGCCCCGCTGCAGGTACTCGGCGGCTGTCTCCTCCATGCGCAGCTGCTCCGCATACTGCTGGTTGAAGAAGCCGATTTTCTGTCCCAGGAGAAGGAGGAGGGGGAGGGGACCTGTCAGAGCCGCACCTGCTCTCTCCCTCAGGTCTCCCGCCCTTCAAGCCCATCCTTACTTACCAGCCGGTGATTCTTTCTCATCTCCCCGCGAGTCTACAAGGAAAGACTGAGTGGTCAGAGTGCGGAGTGGGCAAAGTGACTAGGCCTGTGCTGCTGAGTCCAGCTTCTGTGCAGGGAAGCAAGGACCAGGCCTGCTGGAAGCAAGTGCATCTGGGACACAGGACACGGGCCAGCACAACCCGGAAGGGGGAGACCTGGGGATGAGTGGGGAAGGGGGGGCTGACCAAGCACAGTAAGACACAAGACCCGGCCAAAGCCCAGCATTCCGAGGACCTGCTCTGCGAGGTTGCGGGGACAGGGCCCTTCCATACCACTAGAGAGAGAAGCAGCCACATAATCCTGCTAAAATCCCAAACCAAAAGCAACTCCAGGCAGCTGCCACTAGATGGAAGTGCAAGAGCGCGTAAGAACACCTGCGCGGCAACTGCGGGTACAGAAAGCACGTGAGGCCCACTGGTGGCGAAGGCTGGCTCTGAACACTCCTGCCACAGCCCGTTTTCGAAGGGAAAGAATACACACTTGCACAGGAGTCAGCGAGAACGCTGGCGCCGATCAGCAGTGCTGGTCGGTGCTGCTCTCCCGTCGGCTCGAGCGCCCGTTACCTGCACTAAATGGACACGCGGGGTCCCGGCCAGGCCGCTCCGCGCTGCTCCGGCACTCAGCTCCCC